ATCATACAACATTTTGTAAGTCATTTTCTCCTAGGTGCAGATGATCTTAGAATGAGCAGGGAACCATACTATGTCTTAAAGATTTCTCTAATACATATGCCCTGCCACAACCTGCAAACTTTGTTTAAAAGTGATGACTTGCATGCCGAAACTGGTTTGGCTCTGTGGACTGAAAGGTCTCGGGTTCAATTCCGGTCAAGGGCATGTTTCCCTCTCATCAACGTTTCTGGCTCTCTATCTCTCTCCCTTCCTCTCTGTAAAAAAACAATAAAATATATTTAAAAAAAAAATGATGACCTGCAGATCTGACATAGCCAGATGTTTGGGAACTTTATGACAACTCTGTGACAACTTAAACTATCAATGACTGAATCTAGTTTCTTGTGCTCTTTAGCAATGGAGAGGTTTTGTTAAATAGGGCTGAAAGGAACTGTGAGCAGAGCAAACTGTGATTGGTGGGTGGTATTGGAATATTGCTAGCTGCCGAGCTAACCAGATAGGGGCGATTTTAGGTCACTCACATTGAATTTCTTGAGTCAGGTTTTAGGGTTTTTCTAGTAGGAAATATTCCTGTGATAATTTTCCACACTAGTTACCAATCGAAACAGCTAGTACTTAAAGGTCTTGTGAAAAAATACTGATATTTAAAGTATTAGAATGGGGGTCAGTATTGCTTCTCCAAATGGATGTATCAACAGCAAAAATTCTGTTCAAATTCTTTAGTGATCTGCCTTCCCCTTAGCTGCTCTGACTAGATAAAAGCTCATGTTTATGAAATTTGTTACCCTTTATGTTTATTTTTTTAAAATTTATTTTATTGATTTTTTACAGAGAGGACGTTCACCAGAGCATGGTTCTGTGGGCTGCCACGGCCATGTTACCCCACCGTCTGAAGACACTGCAAGACCAACATCTAGAGATTCTTTGGACTGCCCCTCTGGACTCAAAATCTGAGTTTATAATCTGCTCCAACTATTAATTTCTTTTCCTTTTGTTTCTCTGTAAATCTACGTCTTTTCCTTTGTAGATCTCTAACCTCCCACCCTCTAGCACAGATCGCTCTGCAGCCACCAGCTCAGCTTCTGGTCTGTTAACCTTCTTGGGAGGTTTTAGAGGGAAGAGAAGGTGTGGACTACACCACTGAGGCATAGGAATTCTTTTGAGCTGAAGGCGTTTGGCATGGAAAGAAGTCCTTTTTTTCTGAAGTTCCTTTATCTGACTATAACTAGAACCTTCCAAAAGAACTCAACTGTCATAAATCCTCTCATTTCGTACACGCCCGAACAGACACTGCCACAAAACTATCTGGTCTCACATCTATTCTCCTAAGGGCCCATTATCTTTCCTAAAAGTCATCTGTTTTCCTATAAGTGCTCCCTCCCCTTTCCTTTTTAAGTCCCAAATTCTGCCTGGAGTCACATTTTTCTCTGAACTCCCCTGTAGGTACGTGAACAAGAGCCCACCTTTCCCCTCTCCAGCAGGAGGAACTGAGACCAGGGGCCTGCTCCCATAACCTCAGCAATCCTGGCAACTTATTCCCAGCCAGCAACCACAGTAAAACATTAAAATTAAAGTCTCCTTCTTGAAGAAAGTATAGCAATTAAAAAAGCAGCATTGAATTTTTCCAGTTAGATGGTTGATAACCATTCTTTTTTTTCTTTTCTTGTCTCCTTTTACAGGTCCCTCTACCCCGTGGACTTAACTACTTTTAGCCAAATTTTGGTCATTGCTTCCAAATGTTTACAGCACAGTGAACAAGCTGTAATTTTAGATACTAAAAACAAAACAAAACAAAAAAACAAGACAAAGTGATCAAACTAATTATATTATGGCACTGATATGATGTAAGATGTAAGACAGAGGTAGATCTGCAAACCGCCATATAGCTGCAAATTCCAATATAACTGGTTCTCCTTGAAACTTCAGTTTTACACAAATGTTTATCCAGTAGCACATCATAAACCATGGGTTAAAGGTGTTTCTTCAGTCATGTAAATGTGGAATGGAGAGCTAAAACTGCACACTTAGCAACAAGAAATTTTTTTTTCAAGAGCAAAGTAATATGGAACTCAAGAAAACCTTAAAGTAAATTATTGGACACTTATAGGGGCACTAGCTAAATTCAGAAAGTGTTTGCATTAAAATAGAACTTCGTTTCTGCAGGCATTTAAAGACTTTCATGTACTGTATAACTGAAATTTGGGTCTTTTGATTTTCGCTGACTCACACCTCTTCTTTTTACTGTAGGGAAAGACCAGATTAACAGTTCTGGAAATTTTGCAGGAAGGTTTTTTTTAATAGAATTCTGCTAAACCAAATACCACTGTTTGGGGTCTTCATTTGTAGATTATTCACATCAATGTTTCCCTTGTTAATGATCATTTTAAACAATATCACAAAGCAGGTGGTGGCAATGTTTCACGGAAGTACCAAGGTGGGGAGGAGTAGGCAGAATGACCAATCTGATAAACACAACCACCTTTCACCTAGATTTTCCTTTAAAAAAAAAAAAAAAGTCTAATTGCTTTCAATTTTCTGAAGTGAAAATGGCAGCTTAAGAAAAATATTAAAATGTGCAAGCAAACTGCCTCTTTCACATCCTCATAAAATATTGTTTCCTAAAATATAATGTGCTGTAGGGCTCTCAGATGAGCACCTTTCACATCAGGTGATATGCAAACAAACCATTATTTGCTCAGTAGAAAACAGGTTTGTTTTTGTTGCTTTCTGTACACTCTAGTCAACAGGAAGTCCAAGAAAATGAAGGGAAGGGAGCAGGGTGGTAAGCCAACCCTGTAATGCCCACCCAGAATCCTAGAAGGAAAAATGCCATTGACATAAGACGATTTAGCAAATATCCTGAAGGTCAGCAGTATTTCTAAATACTATCTATCTGTGGCACAGATACAATATCTTGAGTATGCTAATACTTAGGCTGCTAAAAAAGAGAGGCATGTGGAGCAAAAACTAACTTGGAAAATGAGAGAGATTGGATTTAGTCCCCTCTTTGACAAATTGGCCATAATGTTACAAGTCACCCACTGGTGGGCTTCTCCAGTGAGGCGCTGGACAACTTCATTCAACCACTGATGGTTGAAATGCTCATTCAACACGCTGCTCTGCCGGGCCCCTCTCAGGGTGCTCCCGATACCCTTAATCTGACTTTAATACTGCAGCTCCTCCATCTCCCAGCGTTCAGCAGCATTAACACTAAGGATGCGCCTGTTTCTATATACATTCTTTATGCAGAAGTATTCTTCACTTTTTGAAGGAAAATTATAAAAGGCAATGGCACGGGACAAATGGAAGTCATTAAAAAAGGTAAGAGAGCTGATAGCCTACACATGAGATGTAGCCAGAGTCTGAATCTTGCGGAAAAAGAAATAACAGACTTATGGGCTGTGTGTTGGAACTGTTTAGTTTCATGTTTTCCTAAGGCACCACCAAAGTTGTGTTACATTTATGTTTTGGCAAGTGTTTTTCTAGCTAGAGTCATAAAAGTAGGTGGGATTATCTGCCTAATGGCATAAGGAAGATAGCATTTGGACTAAAACTAAGGCCAGTAGGTGAAAAAGGATAAAATTTGCATTGGTTTTAAATTTGTACTAAGGCTACTTACTGAATACCGGAAAATGACATAAGTGTTTAATACTTTTGCATAAGAAAATGTTTCCTTTTGAAGCTGTAGCTTAGGATTTCATTTGGGATAATGAAACCCTGTGGTAAACACACTCTGGATTTTATAACAGTAAATAAGCAAGAAAAAGTCATAAAAAAGCTAAATGCTGTAGACTACAAATATGGTGATACATGAATAAAGGGGATCAAATAGAATCTCAAAATCCAGACAGGTGTTATGTCTGTGAAAAGTGATACAATTTGTTATAATTCAAATCCAAATTAGGACTGGCTGCTTTACAATGAGATTTCAGCACTTTATCTCTTGGGAGTTCTGTTACAAGTTCAAGTAAGTTAGGGCTGTTCCCAAACCTGAAAATGAAGGAGCATTTCTAATAAGCTTTATGTAAATAGGATCCTGATCATTTGGCTCTAGTTAACCCAACATATTTCTCTGGGCATAACCATGGCCTCTCTGAAAATTGGAAAATATTGCATAATTTAAAAAGTCAGAGTATAATGACATTCACTGGTAACTTCACATAAATTATGCTAGGAAGATGGAACATGGGTAGACCAGACCACCAATCATGTTTGCCTAGCCATAAAAACAGTGACAAAGGAAATGGAACAAACACCTGTAACTGTCTGGGGAGACCACATTGTATAGGTGTCCTCAGAGCCTTCACAAAGGCTGCAAGATGACCCTCCTACTCTGACTGGCTGTGGCTACACACAGACAAGCCAGAGCTGGGATGTGATAACCCAATGGCAGGTCTGAGCTCGCTCATGACATACTCTGAGTAGCACAGAGGCAGCAGTGAAAACTACCAGAACCACACTGATAGCTCTTTTTCTTCTTCTTCTTTTTTTAACCTTGGGAAACCATCCATGAGGTTACTCTGACAAAAATATAAATCAAGGCTGACACAGCTAAGGGCTGGCTTATAGCTGGCCATCTGGACATGGGGTTTGCCAGTCTAGCTGTTTTCATTATTTAACCAACTATTAGGAAAAGTATAGTTCACACGCAACCCTGGTCAAAAAAGAGGAAATGGTAAATTTCCTATTATAAGCACAAACTGTTAACCTGTTATGAAAATCCCAATTTTCCTGGCATTCAAGTATATATAGATATATCGTGTGTGTTTCTTTTTAAACATCTTAGGGTGAGGAGGAGGACCAATGAGATAATGACATAAGCTAAACATCCAACAAGCCCCATTCCTCATTCTCTGTGTGGCTGACAGCGTTAGTCAGAAAGCCACCTTCGCTGTAATAGTCCTGATACATTTGAACGTGTAGATCTTTAAGGATTTCCTTATTCATTTGGCTGGGCCTTATGGTAGGTGCTTTTTTTGTTTTCTTGGTGGAATAAGTCATCAATGCTTTCTGAGAGGCTCAAACAGGATCACTGGCCAGATTCCGAAGAGAAACTGTTTGGAAACAAGTTGGAACAAAATGAAAGAAGATAAAAGTGTTCCATATATATCATCCCTGAAAAATGAGAAAGAACCCGTGGGCTATGACTATAGTGCTTGGTAGATTTGCTTGTGATTGTCCTGCTAGTAGTACCTGAGCACAGCATATTTTTTCCAAGCTTGCAAGAGATCTCAGAAACTATGTTTATTTAATTTATTTAAATGTAGTAAACATCTACCTTGTCAAGCATAGAGCTGGGCATTAAAGTCATCTCGGATCCTTAAAACAACTTTGCAATGTAGCTATTAACAGGTCCATTTTATTGTTGAAGAACTAAGTCTTAAAAGGAAGAATCTTGCCCAAGGTCACAGAGCAGTAAGTGGGAGAATTAAAATTCAAGAGCATCTGGTTCCAAAGTGTCTCACTCCGTTACTTCTCCCTCCCACCTACTTCCTCCATCCCATCTTCTCACTATCCCCCCTCTCCCACCACACTCACCCTTTGAGTAGACTTACCTTCACTTTTGGCCTGTATCTCAGGTAAAGTGTTCTTGTGTATATACTGAAAGAAAAGGGGAGGGAGAAAGCTCTTCAGGCTGATTTTTAATTCATGCAAACCGGCATACTGACAAATTTAACTATAGTGCCCATACATATATAAAGAACAAGCAACACTGGTACACTGGTGTATCTTTTGTTCTTTTAGCAACCTTTTTTTTTTTTTTTTTAGCACTACTCTGTGCAGAGCACTTGGCAAGAAGCTAGGGGAGACAGAGAAATGATCAGCTCTCAGACTGTGACTGCAGGATGTTTGCAGTTTAATAGGGAGCATTTCATTCATGCTTTATAGGATTCATATCACAACTGCCAGAGTCACCTTTGAAGATATATGGTAGTAAGAGTTAAAGTATCCTCTTTTTGTTGTTTTGTTCATTCTTACCTAAGGATATTTTTGCATTGATTTTTAGAGAGTGGAAGGGATTGAGGGAGGGGGTAGGGAGAGAGAGAAACACTGAAACACTGATGTAAGGGACACACATCAGTTGGTTGCCTCCTTCACTTACCCTGACCATTGCCCTTGATTGGGAATCTAACCTGAGACCCTTTGGTGGGCAGGTTGACACACTAACCATTGAGAAAAACCGGCCAGGGCTAATATAGAATATTCTTATAATATTTTGAAAATGGTTATATCAGCTCGATAATATTCTAATACAGCTATACAATAATCAGGAAGGCAATGGAGCCTATTAATAGTATTCTTTAAAATGAGTCACCTCTGAAGATATCAGAGTCTAAAATCAGTACATATAGCAAAGGTAAAGTTAAGTTTACCCCTAAAAAATTCATTAAACTTTCCATAGCATACAGTATACATAGTTTTCTTTTGTATAGTACACTATTTAAATGTATTTCAATAGTAATATACTATTAGTAATAATACAATGTGTGTATATGCAAGCCACAATTTTATAGTATGAAAAATTGTATCTTTTAAACAAGGGAAGAAAAGGTGAAAGAGCATGTATAGTTTTAATTTATGTAACTTAATGTGGCTATAGTAGCACTGTACCCCAAGTCAGAACTGTAAAGAGGAACATCAAACATTATGAAGAATACTCTACTGTCTTAAAATATAACCCCTCTGACAGTTTTTCAGATGTTAATCTCTAAAAGAGAGCTGCCACCTTTTCCTTTTTCTTTAGGAAAAAGTCCTGGACTGGGGCAGAGAAGCCTGGATTCCAACCCTTGCTCTTACCTCCACCACTGCCAACTTTTTAAGTAGCTTCACTAGTGGGGCAAGCACTGGACCCAGAGCTTTCTACACATTTCATTCTTTTTTAAAAAATATATTTTTTCATTGATTTTTTACAGAGAGGAAGAGAGATGGATAGAGAGTTAGAAACATCGATCAGCTGCCTCTTGCACACCCCCTACTGGGGATATGCCCGCAACCAAGGTACATGCCCTTGACTGGAATTGAACCTGGGACCTTTTAGTCCAAAGGCCAACGCTCTATCCACTGAGCCAAACCGGTTTCGGCAACACATTTCATTCTTAAACATACTAGGTGGACATTATTATTCCTGTTTTGCATATGAGAAATGATCTCAGAAAGGTCAAATATTCCTTTCAATGTGCCACAGCTAGTAAATGCTAGAAACAGGACTTGAATTCAGGTTCTGTCTAACCATTAGCCAATACATTATATTCTAATTGACCAGTGACCTTGACCTTGAGCAAGTGATCTTGCTGCCTCAGTTTGCTTCACCATCAAATGAAGAAGTTATATTAGATGTTTCCAAGGTTTCCTAGGTTGTTAAAACTCTGACCTCAAATCCAGATAATGACACTAAGATCATGTATGAAGTACTTGACTTTTCTGAGCTTGTCTTCCCTCAAGTATAAAATAATACGTGCCTTATAGTACTGTCAAAAGGATTAAAGGAGGTATATACATAAAGTGCCTAGCCAAGATGAGGTTCTGAGCTTAAAATTCAAACTTTTTATTATGAAAAATTTCAAACATAAACAAAAGCACTTATTACATTAAGTTGTTAAAAAGATCTTATCTTCTCATATTTGCAGCATCTGTAATGATGTTTCCTTTTACACTCCTGATACTGGTTATTTATGGTTTTCCTCTTTCCTTCTTGTTAAATGTTACCAGCTATATCAGTTATTATACCTCAGCTCCAAATCCACCCTCTATATTCTGTTTGTGATTCAAGAGCTGAGACTACAAACCGTACTTCCTCATTGATAAATGTTCCCTCATAGGCTCTGTTAAAAGAGGGCATTCAAAGAGACTGCAAAGCTGGAGGAGAAAGAAGGGACTTCTTCCATCCTGTTTTATTTTCATGAGGGGCTGTTGACTTGTGGTTCCTGTGACCAGCATCCCAACAGCACTTTCTCTCTGTGGCAGCAGCACTTTGTAGCAGCATTCCCTTCCTCAGAAACCTGGAGCCCAGCCTGGGGTCCCTCCTCTGAGCTCAGAAACCAGCACCAGCTAAGCAGTGCCTCTCTTCAGACTTGAGTTTGGAGACCCTAAATTCTTCAATATCTTCCCCTCAGGAGATAGGATCTATGTCCCTCCTATTTAAATCAGTGCCTCTGACCAGCAGAGTAAGATGGAAGTGACACCAGATGAACCCTGAGACGAGGCTATGAAAGGCTCTGCTACCTTTGCTTGCTTCTCTTGAGATGTTCCCTCGGGGAGAAGTCTTCTGCCAGGGATGAAGGCTGATTACACTGAGGATGAAGTCGCCCATGAAGGCAGCTCTAGTTTATAGTCACAGCTTCAAGGCAACAGTCAGTATCAAATGACACCCCACATAAGCGAGCCTTCAGATGTCTGCAGCCTGAGCTGACATCTGACACCAACCCTATGAGAGGCTCCAGGTGAGGACTGCCTGGCTAAGCCCTTCCAAGTTCAAGACCCAAATTCAAGACAATTGTGAGCAAAATACACTGGTTTATTTTAAACTGGTGAGTTTGAGGTTGTTGTGTAACATTAGTAACTGAAATATGTGGCTATTGCCGTGCGCCCCCCTCTTTTTTCTTTTCTTCTGAAACTCCAATTAAACAAATGTTAGCCCTCTCACTTTATCTTCCATTTCTCTTAACCTCAATTGCATATTTTTTGTCTCTGCTGCATTTAAGTAATTTTTTCCTGATCTGTTTTCCACTTTACTAATTCTTTCTTCAATTGAGTTTAATCTGTTATTAGTTCTGTACAGTGAGTTTAGCATTTTGGTTACTATAGTTTTCATTTCTAGAGGTTCTATTTGGTTCTTTAAAAAAATTGTTTGAAAAAGTTTCTTTTTCCTTGAACTTATTTTTAAGTTTGATTTATTTCTTCAAGCATAGAAATTGCATTATTTTTATAATCATTAATAATTCTAATGTGTGCCGAAACTGGTTTGGCTCAGTGGTAGAGCGTCGATCTGCGGACTGAAAGGTCCTGGGTTCGATTCCGATCAAGGGCATGTACCTTGGTTGCGGGCACATCCCCGATGGGGGGTGTGCGAGAGGCAGCTGGTCGATGTTTCTCTCTCAACGACGTTTCTTGCTCTCTATCCCTCTTCCTTTCTCTCTGTGGAAAATCAATAAAATATATTTAAAAAATAGATTTATAAGTAATAATAATAATAATAATTCTAATGTGTGATATTTTTACAGGTCTCTTAAAATTTTTTTTAAAAACCCTTATCCAAGGATATGTTTGTTGATTTAGAGAGAGAGAGAGAGAGAGAGAGAGAGAGAGAGAGAGGAATAGAACACAACCTAGGTCGGTACCCTGGTTTGGAATTAAACCCACAACCTTTTGGTGTATGAGACAATGCCCAACCAAATGGGATTTCTTGTGCAGTGTTAAGATGCTAATTTTTTTAATTATTGGGTTCACTTTATAGTTATTCTTGTTTTTCCTTTTCTGCCATGTCAATTTCCCCAAGCATTTTTCTCCCATATCCTTTCCCTTTTAAATTAGGTATTTCCATGTGCTATGGACTAAGAATCCAAATAACCAATGCAGTAACAAGTTTCAAAAAGTAAAATAAACATACCTGGAGACAGAATTTAAAGAGCTCTTCCATGGTACAACTCAGTGTTCCTATTTAGCTGCTCAGAAATCTTTTTTTTTTTTTTTAATATGTAATTCTCAGGTAGTTAAATTTTAGATAATTCTGGTTGCCTAAACAAGTTGATTTCCAGATAGGTGAAATGTAAATGTTATCTTGAAGAGGTATTCTAAAAATTTCACTTAAGTAAATTTTCACATTGGTTTAAAGGAAAAATTTCTTTCCTTGCCTATAAATATTTCTGCTCTTAATTCTTGAGTAGAATTTGAAATTAAACATAGCCTGATCCCCTAGTAAAGAGATCAATATATACATAACCATTCATTAAATCAATTAACAATATATTCTGGGTGCTTACTATGTGACAGGCATCATTCTATCCACTTGGGAGAGTTGCAGTGAATAAGATAAAGTCTCTGCTTGCTCTCAAGGTATTAACAGTCTAGTTGTGGGAGGTAAACAATTAAATAAACATCTAACTGGTTATAAATACTTTAAAGGTTATAAACACAACCTGATAAGGGGAGAGTGAGTGATATGGAAATACTAATTGAATAGGGTGATCAGAGAGAATTCTGATTCCATTGTTGTTGTTAATGGCTGACCTCCAATGGACTCTTTATTAGGAGAGCAGGGAAAGCAAAGTGGTAACCAATTTATTTAAGCAGGAGACTTTAGATACTCACTTTTTCAGTCTCCTACTCAGGGGATCTGGGTGCTTTTCTTTCAAAGTTTATTTTTTAATGCTGATCAATAAAAAATTAAAATATTTATATACTACTTGTACTAAAAAAAGTTTATATCCTACTTGCATTAAAATGTAGACCATGCATCAGAGGTTAGTTAATACAACTATCTTACTTTAAGGAAAGGGACTTGCTTAAGGTCACCCAGCGGCAGAGGCAAAGCTGGATCATAAGTTCCTGATCTGTCTCCAACATTTTATAAAGACATCATCTTATTTAAAGAATACAGGGAAAAAACACACACTCCAAAACTAGGTTTTAAAAGTATATTTCCTACCTGAAAAGGATGTGAAGATAAGAACCAAGGCCAGTTAAAATATGCCACCATGCATGAAATTGTGTGGTAACACCTACGACAGGTGGTACCTTCTTTCGAAAGTTCCTGTGAGGAGAGGGGGGAAAATCACCATGTTAATTTTTAAAAATATTTAGCAACTAATGCTGATAGTCTTAGAGCACTTTGAACTGCCATTCTCAAAAATTGTAGTTACTTAATTTCCTCAAGTCTGCTGCAATCTGCCATACTGTTTTGCAAAGTGTATTTTCAGTAATAGTATTCCTAGCAAAAGTTCTGAAGAAATGACTCTGTGGTCAAAATAAATATGGGAAATAGTGCATAATTTATTGTTCTCTTAGAGATCTATGATGCATATTAACAGATTAAAAACTTTGAAAAGTCCTACCCTAACTTATAGAGTTGACTTCCATTCCCCCCCTCCCCCCCCCCCCCCCCCCCGATAACCTAGTTATCCCTGGAACCTTTTATTTAGGTATTATCTTATTAATACTTTATAGGACAAATGTTTCCCAGAAACAGGTCTACCTAGCATGCAGTTAAGGAACTAGATACATGCTTCTCTTATGTCCTGCATACAACCATCACCTTAGAAGTGTACTACACAGTCTATAAAGTCCTTTGGTATTTATTATTTCACTTCACAGTAAGTCTCTGAGGTAGCTATATTATTAGCTTTGCTTTACAGATTAGGAAACTAAAATTTAAAGAGATTTCATCCCTTCTTTATTGAATTTATTGGGGTGACATCTTACCAAATAAAAGAGTAATATGCAATACCATCACTCCACTACACCACCAGCCATGCCCACCAGCAAATCAGAGTGAATATGCAAATTAACCCCAACCAAGATAGCTGCCACACAGAGAGCAGGAAGGAGGCTTGGGCTTCCTGGGCCTAGGCCTCCCATTCCAGGCTACAAAGTTTTAATTATAAAAGGTGAATAAACCCCAACACAAATGGCTGCTGCCACAGAGCGAGCAGAAGGCTTGGCTCAACTCCAGGCTACAAAGTTTCAATTGTAGAAGATAAATAAATCTCAGATACCAGGGCCTCTGTTTGGGTCGCCCGAGGCATGGCTGACCTGTAAACCACCACAGGCCCCTCGCCCAGGCTGCCCACACCCAGAGGGAACCTCCACCCTGATCCGGGACACCCTTCAGGGCAAACCAGCTGGCCCCCACCCGAGCACCAGGTCTCTATCCTATCTAATAAAAAGAGTAAAATGCAGATTGATCATCACTTCAATACACAAGATCAAGATAGCTGCCCCCATATGGTCAAAGATCTTGCCCCCATGTGGATACAAGATGGTCACCACAAGATAGACAGCAGGGGAGGGCAGTTAGGGGTGACCAGGCGGGCAGAGGAGGGAAGTTGGGGGCAAACATGCTGGCAGGGGGCAGTTAGACATCAATCAGGCTGGCAGGGCAGTGGTTAGGGGTGATCAGGCTGGCAGGCAGAAGTGGTTAGGGGCAATCAGGAAGACAAGCAGGTGAGCAGTTGGGAGCCAGCAGTCCTGGATTGTGAGAGGAATGTCCGACTGCCCTAAATGGGCAGTGGGACATCCTTCCAGGCTGGATTGAGGGACAAGCCCCCCCCCCCCCCCGAAATTTCATGCACCGGGCCTTCAGGTATACAATTCTATTATATATCATCTATACTGTATTATGTGTTCACACCCCAAGTCAAGTCTCTTTCTATCAGAGATATTAATTGAATTGCCCAAGTCACTCTGCTAATGGCATAGCCAAGTCTAAAATTCTAGATTTTTAAAAATATATATTTTTAGTGATTTCAGAAAGGGAAGGAGAGGGAGAGAAAAACATCAATGATGAGAGAAAATCAGCTGCCTCCTACATGCCTCCCCTTACCCCGCCTCCACAACTGGGGCATGCGCCCTGACAAGAATCGAACAGAATCAAACCATGACCTCCTGGTTCATAGGTCTATGCTCAACCACTGAGGCACGCTGGTAGGGCTAAAATTCTAGATCTTTTGATTAAGTGTATACTATATTAATATTCTCGTTTATTAGAGGGAAATAATAAACATGAAACATCAAATTATTTTTCTAGATATCCCATGAATTTTTGAGACAATTACCATCTAATTTTGAGATAATTACCAGCTCTAATGGGGTTTCTGATGGGTATTACTAATTCAAAACTACTCAATTAGATCTTTGTTTTCAAAGCAAGGTATATTACTTGTTTGCTTCTGTATATTAAAGTCTACATTTACTTATTTAACTTTTTTACATATTTTACTTATCTTAACTATTTTACTTATTTTAACACTTACTTTTTATTATGGGAAATTTTTAATATGCAAAAATAGGCAAAATAAGAATGTACCATTGACCTCCAATAATTACAACTTATGGTTATAACAATCTTGTATTATCCACTTTTCCCCACCACCCCATATTATTTGAAGTAAATCTCAGATAATGTATCATTTTATCTATAAATATTTCAGTATCTATTTTTTAAAGATTAAAATCTCTTTCCAACATAACCATACCATTGCATACCTAAAATATTAACAACTAGAGGCCTGGTGCATGAAAATTCGTGTACTTGGGGGCATCCCTCAGCCTGGCCTGTGCCCTCTCATAGTCTGGGACCCCTCAGGGGATATCCACCGCTGGCTTGGGCTTGCTCCCTACAGGAATATCAGACATCCTTAGCACTGCAGAGGAGGCAGGAGAGGCTATGCTCCCAGCTGTCAGCCTGGCTTGTGGCTGAGCGAAGCTCGCCCCGTGGGAGCGCACTGACCACTAGGGGGCAGCTCCTGCGTTGAGCGTCTACCTCCTGGTGGTCAGTGCGTATCATAGCGACCAGTCTTTCCCGGTCATTCTGCTGTTAGGGTCAATTTGTATATTATTCTTTTATTATATGGGATAATCCACTAATATCACAAAATATTCAAATACCAATTAAAGTTCCAATCATCTCATAAACTTTTTTTTTTTTTTAAAGTGGTGTTGTTTACATAAAAATCCGACACATTGCTTTTGGTTGATATATCTCGTAAATCTCTTTTAATCTACATGTTTCTTCTCTTTTTTTTCCCCTTCCTTCTGCTGAGATCAGATCATTCATCCTATAAATTTCTCACAGTCTGAATTTTGTTGATTGCCACTCTGTGGTGCTGTTCACCAGTCCTCTGTGCTTTGGCAAAACTGAATTTTGAGTTGGAAGGATCCACTATTTTAATTTATTTAACATGTTAATTTTAATGGAAATTGAGGCCCAGAAAGAGTGTTTTAGTAACAGACTAGGGTCCAGAGACCCAAGATTTAAACTCCAATCAATACATATTTGCTAACAAGGCGAAAAAAAGGAATACTTGTCTTTCTTAGACAATAGCATTAAGCATGTGAAAGTACAAAATTATATACATGTATTTCATATCCTATTTTAAATCATTCTTACTTATTCAGTAAAGCAAGTTAGGCAGATTTCAAAGATTTAGTCAACATTTGATTAAAAATCTCTACAGATATTACAAAATATTCTTAGGTCTAAATTTTTAAAAATTTAAAAAAGTCTTCCCAGAAGTTTACTTTATTATATTTTTCATCCCTTTTTAATTTCAGTAATGGCAAAAATTCCCTTCAGGGCAATAATAATTCTATACGCCTATGAAATTCTGCTTAATAGATTGCTTTCAAAAATATTTCTCAAAGACTGAAAATGTATCTTACCTCAGTGAATTACAAAAGATGTTATCGACGTTCCATAATAAAAATCCTAATAAAAATATACCCAAAGATGTATATCCCAGTCCTCTAAGCCATGGATAAACCCTGTGGAAAAATTAAAAAGCACAATAAAATTTTGCTGTGTCCATGTCATGATCAGAGCTTGAAGTAATCACTTTCATGAGAAGGAAAGATTATTGTTAGTATTAAAAGCAAACCTATCTATTAAATTACCTAATACATTTGCCTATTACAGTGGTCAGCAAACTGTGGCTCTTGAGCCACATGCAACTCTTCGGCCCCTTGAATGTGGCTCTTCTACCATGTGTGGGCACGCACGTACAGTGCGACTGAAACTTTGTGGCCCATGCACAAAAGTCGGTTTTCGGCTCTCAAAAGAAATTTCAATCGTTGTACTATTGTATTGATATTTGGCTTTTCCTAAGTGATTTTACATTACCACCAGCAGTGTGGTTTTAATTTGCATTTCTTTAACAGCTAATGTCACTGAACATCCTTTCATTTGTGTGTCTGCCAACCATCTAACTTATTTGATAGTTTGCTGACCTTTGTCCATTTAAAAAATTGCTGTTTGCCATATTATTGCTTTGTAAGAGTTCTTTATATATTCTAAATGTAAATCTTTGGTTGGATATAAATTTTGCATATATTTTCTCTAACTCTGACTTGCCCTTCATTTTCTTAACAGTGCCTTTTGAAGAACAAAAGTTTGTTATTTTGATAAAGTTTAATTTATCAATATTTTCATTATAGTTTGCATTCTTTGTGTCCTATTTAATAATTCTTTGCTTAAGCAAGCCTGCAAAAACTTCTGCTCTATTTTCTTCTAAAAGTGTTTTAATTTTAATTTTTACATTTAGGAATTTGATTCACTTCTAGTAAATTTTTGTATTGGTGTGAGCTTAAGTTAAGTTTAAAATTAAGAGTATTAAACTGTTCAGCATAATTTGAAAAGATTACCTTTTCCTCACAGAAAAACTTTAGATGCTTATTTAAAATTAGGTCACTATAAATCATAGGTCTATTTTTGGACACTCCATTGATTCATATTTCATTTTTACCGTTAATATCACATTGTCTTAATGTGGCACAATGCAAAACAAGTAGTATAAGTCCTCTAACTTTACTGTTCTTTTTCAAAAATGTTTTGACTATTCTAGATTCTTGCCTTCCTATATAAATTTCAGAATCAGTTTCTCATTTTTTACTCTATAAGTTTTAAAAGGTTTTAATATACTTGTACATTATAAACAAAAGGAGGCTATCATATATAGCTTTCCTCAAATTTCTTTTAAAAATATATTTTATTGATTTTTTACAGAAAGGAAGGGGGAGGGATAGAGAATTGGAAACATTGGATAAGAGAGACACATCGATCAGCTGCCTCCTGCACACCACCTCCTGGGAATGTGTTCACAACCAAGGTACATGTTCTTGACTGGAATTGAAGCTGGGACCCTTCAGTCCGCAGGCCGATGCTCTATCCACTGAGTAAAACAGATTAGGGCTCCTCAAATTTCTTTTATTTTGAGACTCTTGTTTTCACATGGTGCCTATTAACAACTTGCTTAAAGAGCTAGTATTCCTTGTAATTATACCATAATGAATGTTGGATTATATAGTTTTCATTCAATATAGCTGTTGGAATTGGGTTTTATGTATTGTTTCAATTTAGGCTATAGTTTTATTGCCTGAATGTACTCTAATCATAGTGTGATGATCCAAACTACTTACCATGTAACAATATAAATTGATCGAAGTACTAATGTGAAGACCAACATTCCATACATGACCTAAATAAGAAAAGAAAAAATGATGTTGCTAAAATCATTATTCTTTGGCAAAGAAAGTATATTTTGCCTAAAACTAGTCCTCCTAATTAAATGTAAACATTTATTATCTTTTATTACATTTTAAAGAACAGAATTTTTAAGAATATATAATTATATAATTAAGAGTCATGCTAACCTTTGAGGAAAACTTAAGAGTCTGTTTGTGAATAACAAGCATCATAAGTTCTGTGACCATTTTAGTTATGTTATGTGCAATTTTTTTAACAAATATATTTTATTGATTTTTTTATAGAGAGGAAGGGAGAGGGATAGAGAGCTAGAAACGTCGATGAGAGAGAAACATCGACCAGCTGCCTCCTGCACACTCCCCACCAGGGATGTGCCCGCAACCAATGTACATGCCCTTGACCGGAATCAAACCTGGGACCTTTCAGTCCGCAGACCAACGCTCTACCACTGAGCCAAACCGGTTTTGGCTGTTATGTGTAATTTTAAATATATGCCAAAACCTGAACAGATGCTATAATTTTGTCTCACATTCTCTAGATCATTTTACTTTCAATAATTGATTCTACTTCCCAGGTTGCTGGCTCAGTCTCCAGTAGGTGGCGCACAAGATGTTTCTCTCACATCAGTTTTTTTCTCTCCCCCTCCCATCCTCTCTCTAAAATCAATTTTAAAAAGTAGAAAAAAAATTGGTCAGATTACTTAACCTCTAACTCTACTATCTCATCTACAAAATGAAGATGATAATATCTATACAGGTTTGTTGATATTTTTATAATAATAGGTAAGTCAGTCCATATAAAGTATAAAAAAGAATATATAATACTTAGTACATAAGAGATAGTAAAAAATGTCAGCTTCTTTGCTAAGTGTGCTTACACAGTAGTTTATTTACATCTCTAATTTATAATTAAGTGACATAAATGGAATATAATAAAATTTAAATAAATCTGCTTAAGTTCCTGTGTAGAACATCTACTTTGGCAGGAAGAATTTAAGTAATAGTACTTTCTGAGACACTATATGAGATCTCACTGAGATATTAAGTAACGATTTGTTAATTAGCTGCTTAGAGAGGGTTAACTAACTTCTTAAATGTTCTTTTAATCTATTCTCATATATACTTTTTCTTATTTCCTTATTAAAGATATATTGGTATATAAGTGAATGTGGTGGCTATTTGATTTGTGTATTTTACACTAGCATTTGGCTCTCTTTTTGGAGATGTTTGGATCACCTTATATTTAATATAGTAGTAGAACTGGTATCAGGATTTTCTCTCTCTGGGAAGCTAATCTGATTAGCAAGACCATCATACTGGTTGAGGCAAATATTTTTAAGATGTTTATTAGCTCCTTCTCTCTAACAGTATCTCCACTATTTATCTCTCTAGGCCCAACTCAAATATCTCCTTTCAGAAGCTTTCTGTGATTATTACAGGCAAAATTTTACGCATGTCATCTTATATCTCAATATTACTTTTAGTATCACACTATTGTTTATTGCCTTATGCTTTTAAGTTATATTATTTTTATATTATCCTTGTGAAAAAATACTTCTTTTTCTGAACATTTTCAGATAAAGAAATTGAAGTATAAAGGCATCTCAGAAAATTGTCCATGGATAATAAAGTGGCAAGAAATCAGAGTGATAAGAAATCAAGATTCCAAACTCTCAAGCCAGAGTTCCTTTAGATTGGACAATGTTGCTTTTCCCTCCTTTCCCATTATTTTTAAGATGGGCGGGAGTAGGGAGGTTCCTGGAGAAGGCGGGACCAGCCCGAGGAGACTGGAGGGACGGAGGGCAGGGCTTGAAGCGGCCAGAGAAGGCCAAGGGATTGGGAGCTGGGCCAGGGACACTGGGGCTCTGTGTGGAGTTTCGGGTGTCGAGGCAGGGCTGCAGGTGGGTGAGCGGGGCTGTGCGATTTCATGCACTGGGCTCCTAGTAATACATATTAGGAGGAAAATATTCAAGGACTTTTCACTATCTTTTCTAGAAAATAATGTCATAAAAAGACTTTATATATGTATGTGCATAAGGCTTCCTGTTTTTCTCCTTATATGAGCAATGTTGCACCTGCATTACTGAATACCAACAGCCAGATGGGCCTCGGCATTGACTATTCCAGGTAGATTCCTGTTAGCTACAGCTGGCTACTGTAAGCACTTGAGTTTGCAACCTATGTATCTGCATATTATTTATAAGAAAAGGAAAACACAAAGCAGGCAAGTATTGTTAATCAATTAAATGTGTACTAATTTTTAAGAATTACCTGATGGAATACAGGCTCCTTTACCTGAAGGTAAATCTGCAAAATATCAAAACATATGTGAATAAAATGCATGATGAAGGGGAGAATAAAACTTATTATAACAATTCTGCAAATTCCAAACCTCTCCTGCTTCTCTAGTCTTGCTACTCAGAACTGACTCCAACCATATAAAACCAATCAGATTAAGTGGCAATGCCATAGGAGGGCTAGTCCCTACAGGTGGGTCTCTCCCAATGGAGCTTTACCATGGCAAACTACATGTTTCAAAATTGTGTGGATGTCTCTGGTCTCTTGGCCTCTGAATCAGCATCAAGGAAGGGCAAAGATGCATGGATACTTATAACAGCTGAAGAGGTTATGCCTACAACCCTGTAGCAGATATGTTCTACAGTATATAGAACACTAGCCTTAGAGGTAGAGACACAAATTAAATTTCAGACTGCCACTTACTTGCTACAGGCTTTGAGTAATTGGCATTATAACCAAAAAACTAATTTTTCCTTATCTTGATAAGAGGAATAATATTGGTGACAAAATACATGAAAGTGCCCTGGCCAATGTGGCATCATCCCATGTACCAAAGGATTCAATCCCTCGTAGGGGGCATGCAAGAGGCAGCCTATCAATATCCTGATCTCACATTGAAGTTTCTCTCTCCCTTTCTAAAGAACTAATAAAATATCTTTTTAAAAGGGCATAAAAATGACTAGCAAAGTAGGAGCTCAAAGAGTGAAAACATTAAAAAAAAATCTCTGCCCCAGCCAGTTTGGTTCAGTGGAGAGAGGATCAGCCCGTGGGCTGAAGGGTCCCGGCTTTGATTCTGAACAAGGGCATATACTTTGGTTGCAGGCTTGATCCCAGCCCTGTCAGAATGCATGCGGGAGGCAACCAATCCATGTGTCTCTCTCACTTTGATGTTTCTCTCTGTCTCCCACTCCCTGCCCCCTTTCTTCCACTCTGTAAAAATTAATGGAAAAATATCCTTAGGCCCTAACCTGTTTGGTTCAGTGGATAGAGGGTCAGCCTGAAGATTGAAAGGTCCCAGGTTTGATTCCGGTCAAGGGCATGTGTCTTGGTTGTGAGCACATCCCCAATAGGAGGTGTGCAGGAGGCAGCTGATCGATGTTTCTCTCTCATCGATGTTTCTAACTCTCTATCCCTCTCTCTTCCTCTCTGTGAAAAATCAATAAAATATTTTTTTTAAAGGAAAAAAAAAAGAGAAAAATATCCTTAGGTGAGGATTAATTAAAAAAAAAAAATTCTTGTGTTTCTGCTTCCCAAAACTTCTAAGTCACTTGCCCAGATGTGTTCCCAGTTACAAAATTCTAGTTTTAGGTTCCATTGTTATATGGGTGGTTAAATCCAGTGCCTATTCAAGATTTAGCTTGCATTTGCTGCATTATAATACACCTTTAAGATGACATGGTAGAGAGAATAAAAATTAAAATAGTAATCTTGAAATGACTCCCCTCACTTACAAGACAAAGTCCAAATTTCAAAGTCTCCCATGATCTCACTCCTGACTGTTGGCTTCACTGCTCTCCTCTTGTCTCTTTTTTATTCTAGGCTCCAGAAAGTATAGTGCTTCCCCAAATGTGCTAGTTTCTTGCTTCTATATCTTTAAACATGGCTGCTCTTCACTTTGTTCAGAAATCCTCCCTTGCTGGCAAACACTCATCTTCCTAGATTCAGTTCAAACTATACCTTTCTTGAAGCCTTTTTTGAGCAGCCACTCACCTTCCTCTGCACCCTCACAGTCCATGTGCACATGGCTCTATGCCTATGGACAGTGTAATGGTCTATTAGAAATGCCTCACCACACTCTTGCCCAAGGGCCTGGCGAACTCCTCCTCATCAGTTAAAACTCAGCTTAAATGCCTTCTCTATGGAGCTTTCCTTGACCCACTCTAGAAATCTTCATCGATATTCCTTCATCTCATCCTTGTATGAATAGTTTTTACCTCTATTATTGCAACTTTATTTTTTGAAGCAATTCTTCATTTACACGTTTGACTTCCGTATTAGCATGTACTCCTCAAGCAAAGCAACTGCTTCTCAGTCATCTTTATATTTTCTACTGCCTGATATGATAGGTTTGCAACACAAGTTTGTTGAAATGAGTACATCTTTATACAAAATTCAATTCACTTGAGGAAAAAAGACACTTAAGTAGGCTCAGAAGTGACCAGCTATCTCAACTTATTAGGAAAAGGTTAAAAATAATATTAGGCTCAACAGAGCAGAGCGAATCTCTCTCTCTCTCTTTTTTAACAAACAGGAGACAATATGTTCATCCATAAGAAGTTCATTTCTCCCCATTCCTACTAAATATTAACCTTTTGATTTTTCCCCATTTTTTAAAACCAGAGTTTTAAAAAGTTGTTTCAATTTTTTGTTGAGAAATAACCCCTGAATGGGAAGCAAAGAAGCAGTAACTGTGAGTTTTCTCTAGAAACATTTCAATTGGAACAGCATGAACCAAACACTGGAAGGAAAATGTGCCAAACTCATAAAAGGCTAGTTCACATGCTCAATCTGTTAGAAACAAAATATGACTTACTGTGGTTACTATTAAACTGAATAGAACTAAGGTAAAAAGCAGATGGTAGTTTACTGAATTCTTGGTCTTGAAACATTCAAACCTTAAAAAGAGAGAGAAAAAGAAAACTGCTTTAGAGTATATAGCTAGAAAAAGAAACAGAATGCTGTTTGACCACTTACACAATCTTCTGGGTCTAGAGATGCCCATCATGTCTTCCCATCCACACTCTCATCTCAGAGAACTTGGACTGTCTACAGCCTCCAAGAGGTTGGGGGAAGAGGAGTAGGCACCTTATTTAAACTGGGCCAATGAGAGGCTCACCCCTGGAAATTGGTTGTTTGGAAGCTGGAGACCGAATCAGTCAAGTGTGGAGAGTCAAAGTATAAAGCCATAGGGATTCCAAGTCTGATGCTGACAACAGGGCAGCCAAACTGAATGCTCAACAGATGAATGAGCAGAGAAGTGGTCTGCAGGGAGGGGAAAATAAAGCAGACATAAAGACTTGAAGCCATGTTGAGAGGAAGGAATGGAGAAAAGAGGGAGGGAGAGAGAGAAGCTGTCCTTCCAGTTTAATGAGGCTCTATCTCCAGATGTTGAGTCCTACATAATTTCCTCATGTCCTTACAATAAATAAATCTCTCATATCTCACACTAGCTAGAGTAGGTTCCTATATCTTTCAACTAACAATCCAAGAATAACAGACTATTATAGAAAATATCACTATATTACCGAAACAGGTTTGGCTCAGTGGATAAAGCATCGGACTGAAAGATCCCAGGTTCGATTCCAGTCAAGAGCATATAGCTTGGTTGCGGGCACATCCCCAGAGAGGGGTGTGCAAGAGGCAACTGATCGATGTTTCTAACTCTCTATCCCTCTCTCTTCCTCTCTGTAAAAAAATAAATAAAATATATTAAAGAAAAGAAAATATCACTATATCATAATCATCTTGTTACTTATCTGTCTCCCAACCAGACTGTGATATCTAGTCACTAGGATAGTATCTGATAGAGGAAATATTTAGTAAGTAAGTATATATAAACAAATATATGGTTATCAGTTTAGTATCCAACCTTTGAACTTATGTTTTAATACAAACAGTAGGAGACTTCTCTCAGTTCACTAATCAATTGGCTGTGGGAATTGGACCCAACTCCTATTTCCTTCTCTGTAAAGGAAAGTGGTGGCACAGATGACTTATAAGATCTCTTTTGTCTTTAAATTCTGGAACTTGATGACTTAGTAAAAGAACTCATCTGGAAGTATTTTTCTAGATCCCGGCAATTTCTCAGCCTAAGCCCGTTTTTTTTGCTTTTTTTTTGTAAATAAAAATTTACTGGAACATAGTCACATCCATTTGTTTACATATCTCCCATGCTGCAACAGCGAAGTTGAAGGGGTGCAACAGATTATAGGCACACAAAGCCAAAAATATTTACTGTTTGGCCCTTTACAGAAAAAAAGAATTTTCAGAACTTTTAAAATAATATGTTTTTAAATTGTTCTGAATTTTACATATCGTTAGAAGATATTCTTGAGCTAGCAATGATGACCATATTGAGAAGAATCAGCCAACCATCATATAAAGGGCTCAGAGACTCAGTGATGTGTTAAGTATTAGTGCTGGGAAACAGAACGTATATTTAGAAGGTAAGGTTGAAACAGGCTATAAAGCCAGGATGGGTGGAATAGGAAACTGAGATAGTTAAACAGCAGTTTGCAGCCATTTAGGAAATCTAGATGCCAAGCAGTTTGCAGCCACCTCGTAAATCCCATATTCCCTAAGTCAAAAACATTTAAGAGCAAATGGTTTGAACTTCTCCTTCTCAACCAGAGGGTCACCAACCTTTTGGACCTCACGAATCACCATTTGTCCTCGGACTACCGGTTGGTGACCACTGGCTTAAATCACCCTACTCAGGGAGACAGCAGAAATCCAATTAGTGCCATTTGCTAACCACACCCAAGGATATATGAAATTAAGAGAATAAATCTCATTTTGGTACATCATCATAAAACTGATGACTATCCTGTTGAGATCCCCCCTAATCACCCAGCTTTTAAAATACCTCAAAATAAAGGTCCCAGCACATGCTCTTCCTCCCAGGAACATGCTCATGCCTCCACCATCCCATTCTTTCCCCACGGGCATCCATCTCCTAAGTTATAAGGGACCCTACAAGGCTTGCAACGAGGGCAACACCAGGCAGTGGCAGTTCATCCTGGGCAAATCCCTTGAACTTGACACCCAGGCACCCTTTTTCTGACTTCTTAGTGAGCCAAAGCAGACCAGCCTCGGCTCATTTTCCAGCCCTTTCTTGTCTCACTGTCCCCAGTTTTAGTAAATGTCCTCTAAAATTCACTTGGACTCGTGTTGTGAAATTTTTCCTGCACAAAGTTAAGAACCCACACACTACCAGTGAGTCCTAGGCAGACCTGCTTAGGGCCAGTAGTTCAGTTTCCAACTCTGACACTAACTACAAGACCTTATGTAAGTAGCATTTGATATTTTGCTTCCTAGCAATTGTCCTCAGTTTTGGCTCAAACTCTTATAAAAACTTTCTACAGACTTGGACATTTCTTAGGTCAACATATACTTAGACAAGTTACCAAACATCTCTGTGCTTCACTTCATCTACAATATAGGGACAATATGCATTTATCTTGTACAAAATAAATAAATATTATATTTATGGCATAATATGTAAAATCTTTACCTAAACATGTATACATTTATAACTCAAGGAAAGGCAAATCATGTAAGTTATGTCAAATTTAAGTAATAGTCTAGCTAAATTGGCTATAGGGTATTGATATCACAAGTTAATAAACAACATTATTGTAACTTCCCAGAGATTTTACTCTACATTAAGATCACAAATACTATTATATTTTACACTATTATAATCTCTTAGTAATATTAACTGAGTTAGTTATATAACTTAATTCACTATGAGGCCAATATGAATTTTAAAATATATGAAATAACTAAATTTTAAATTTAAATACTTACATGCAGTACACAAATATACAACTGCTGTAAATCATTGGGAGTTCATCCAGTAGCTATAAGAAACAAAGACAGATAATAGCATGGGGAATACTGTAGAGTTGCAATTATTATGCAAATAAAGTAAAGTTTCACGATTAAATGGTCACCTTATTATCTCATATCTTTTATTGATTCTTTTATATATTTGTCATTATCTAGTTTACCCTGAGAATATTTATTTTAGTTTATTCTTTTTAAATAAACAAGCGTATCCATTCATCTATCTGTTCTAATAGCTAAGTAGAATGCAGGATGTACTGGGCAGCTCAGATCATTTGGTATCACAAACTATATCATCATACTTGCAGGAAAGTATGATGTTCACCATCTAGAGGTCTATGGGTCCTATCAGTATTTTTTTACATTTCTGCCCTTTTCTATAGCACTTAAGATGGATAAAATGTCCACTAATATACATAAGAAGAAGTATTAATGGTCAGGAAAGTTATTTAGTTAATCTAAGTAACCTGTGCCTCTGAAAGATAATGTTATTAGCAATAATAATAATAATAATAGCTATGATGTATTAAATTACAAGTGAGACACTAAGCTGAGTGTTATATAGATAGGTTACTGCTAATCCTTAAACCTATCCTAAAACCAATCCTGTATGGAGAGTGTTCTGACGAGAGAAAGCCGACGTGGGAGGACAAGCCAAGAAGTTGCAGCAGTCCAGGCTAAGGAAAATTGCTCCTTGGATTAAGGTAGCAGAATTGGGAATAGATGTAAGTGAACAGGCTTGAGAAATATTTAGGAAGTAAAATAAACAGGGATTTGTGATTGATTTTATACAAAGCTCACTCTGAGGGAAAAGAAACTGCCAAGGATGACTCCCCAACGTTTTGCCTAAACACTTCAGATGATGGTAGTACAGTTTACTGAAATTGTGAAAACAGAAAGTTACAAGAATAATTTTCAACATGTTGAGTTTAAGGTACTTGTGAGACAGCCAGGTGAAAATACCAATCAGGCAACTATAAATACAAATATGTAGCTGAAAGACTCCAGGTGTTGGCTACTTGTTTATTTTTATTTTTTAAAGAACTAAATTAAACTGAGCATATGCTAAAATAGCACGGACTTTAAAATCTGGCGATATAAATAGAAGTCTTATTTCAAAACCATAGGTAGCAAAATTATTCCAGAGTGGGGTGGGTTGTGGATCTGAAGATAAGTCTTCAGAGGTAGGCAAGGGCCAGATCATAAACCTGTGGTTCAAATTTATGAGCTTGAACTATAAAAAGTGATATGCTGGAAGAGCAAGGACTATATTTTATGTATCTCATGCCCAGTACTTATACAAAGCCTAGAAAATATTGCTCAACACATGAAAACAATTAGTTTGTTTGTAGCAAGAGTACTTCTGTTCCACTGTGACAAATAAATAGGGAAGGCAGGAATACCAATTTGGGTTGGAGATGATGAATTAAGGCAGTGGTAGAGATAGCCAGAGGTAGCTATATCCAAGAGTTATTACGAAAGTTGAATCAAGAGGGTTTAGTGTTTGTAGAGATGAGAAAGTAGAAATTAAAGATGTGTTACAGGTTTTTGGCTTGGGCTTTCGGTGTAAGATGGTTCCATTCACTGAACTTGGGAACAAAGGAAAAAGAAAGGTAGTATTTATACCTAAAATATCTGTTTACATTATAAAGTCTGAATTAGCTTACATTATCACCTAATATTTAAGCTATTTTTATTTTCGTATTTTAAATAAAATTTAGGTGAGTAAACATTTTACTAACATTTATTTTTTCTAATATAAAATATATGCTCAATAAGAATACTTGGAAAATGCAGAAAAAATTAAGACATTACAATATTAATTATTGATAATCCCCAAGATTATCAATAACTGTATATTTCAGTTAATGAAAACAAAAAAGAATGAGTAAATAAATGAAAAAAGTCTGGGAGAAGACTTCTAAAAACTTAAAGCCTTTATACTCCTACCGCCATAAATGTAAGACACAGTGCTAAGACAAAGGAAACAAAATAATAATAAATACAATTGGGACCTACTGTCTTTTTCTTTCTGTATAACTTTAGTCAAGTCACCTCCCTGCTCTTGGACTATTTAACGTTGATAAAATTTATATATTGGACTAATATTTAAATATCTCTTCTAATATTAAAATTCGATTATTTAAATTTGAAGGCCATGCTCATTCCTGGTTGCCCCTACCCCTTCTCTAATATTTTCCTTAATCCCATCCCCAAATGTATTGCTCTTGGCTGGATGCCACAGAATGTGATACATCAATGCTGAAAAAGGAGTAATAGCTTAAAATGTTACTGTTCACAAGGGCACACATAACTTAATAGTACTCAAAGGAATGAATCACTAACAATCTTACCTAAGAATAGACAAACACGTAAATTGTACCTCTGCTACACCCACAGCCAATTAGAGTGAGTATGGAAATTAGAAGGACAAAGATGGTGCCTGCTCTAGACGCAGAGTGGCCTGGCGGGGCGGGGCGGCGGGGGAGCACTCATGAAGGGATCTACAGGAGCGGAATGCCACAGTGAAGACTGCAGACTCCAGCTGTGAAGCAGCAAAGACAAAGAAGGCAGACTCTGGCCTGAGCGAAGGCCTGGGTCCTGGGTGCCTGCCGGAGGAAAACTGGTGCTGGAAGCCAAAGGAAGGAAGGCCTATTGCACGAATCTCTTCGTGCAATGGGCCTCTAGTGGATCAATAATAGTGGTTTCAGATGTTCTGACTGGCTAAAGAAAAAGGAAGGAAACTAGTATTTGTTAAATACTAGTTTACCAGATCTTATATTGGCACTTTCACATATGCCAGTCAATTAGTCCTCATAATACTCTTACAGGTAGTATTAGACCTATTAGATAGATGAGAAAGCTAAGGCTCAGCAAGATTAAGTGGCATATTATGCTCAAATAGCCAGTAAAGGAGTAGAATCAAAACTGGAACCCAAGTAGCCACCTAGGAATAATAAATCTGAAGAAAATACTATTTAAACTCTAAATCATTCTTAAGAAAGAACTGTCAATATTTGCTTGAGCTTACTTTAGGCAGAGCTGGGCCTCCAATATCTCTATAGCTGCAAGCTAAACTCAGGCTGGCAGAATGGTTTACTGATCACCAGAGCCAGGTAAGTGGCAACACGACATTTCTTACTTCATTTCAACAAATGATGGCCTAAGGTAGCTGAGACAAATTTATCCTGAAAGGAGACAATACAAGGAGCCAGCAAGAAACATTCAAGATTACTTAATGTTTAGATTAAAGAAATGAAGAAGTCCTTCAATATTGATGATTCTACCCTCCTTCTCAATCAATGGAAAAATGGTTAGACAAGCATGTAAAGTCACAACTTTGTAGTCCAAAAGGAGAAAAAAATAAGAAATTTGTATAATTTGTCAATGAAATTTTACCAGGTATAGTAACAATATAGCATAGAATCAAAGGTCTCAGGATCAAAGGCCAGCTTGTCTATCCAAATACTTTCTTACCCTGCTAATAATCTTGCCAATAATTAAGTTTATATGCAAATCAAAGTGTGTCTCACCTCTGCTCAAAATCCATTAATGGTTCCCAGGGGCTTAGATCTGTCCTCTGGTTAGTTTCTCAAACCACATCTCCTGCCATGTATTTCAATGCCTGCCCAGGAGCATGCACTCAATAATTTAATAATAATTTACTGGAGCACTATCACCATCCTCACCACACACTCTTATTCCATTACAACCATAATGTACTACTGCCCTGAGATGGCAGCCACACTTTCACATCCCTGTGGGTTCTAGTTGGCCTGGTAAATTCCTATTCATTTTTGACAATGCAATTCAAACATGTGTCTGAGTCATCTTTGTGAAACCCAATCTCTAATCTTTCTACCTTAAATAATTAATTTCTCTTTTCTATTTCCATAGGGTCCTGTATGTCCCTTTGTCACTTCATTTACTAGCATATTATCTTTACTCCTAGACTCTAGATTCCTTGAGGAAAAAATAGTATCTTTACCTATACATACCTTTTTCCCAGGTACCAAATACAGAATTTTGAACTGAAGTGTTTGTCCAGCCTATGTTAGGGCCCCTCTGAGGACAGAGGATTCAAGATCTCCAAAGCAGTTTTTGCCATCTACTGGCTTAGACAATTCTTCCCTATGCTGAGAAAAATGTCTCTTTATCTTTAATATCCCAGGACCACACAGAGTAAGACTAATACTCTTCAACATATCAACCCTTAAACACTGATTCATAAAACATTTATTCAGTGCAGTGTGGCAGCCCCATGATATAAAGAGGGATGCACCAAGGTCAACCAGAGTCCCTGCTCTTAGGTAACTCACATTCTGATCAAGAAATCAAAGCATAAATATATTTATAAAACATTGATACCAGCAGTAATAGAGAACTGCAGAGTGAAATGGAAGAACATATGAAGGGTGCCTATTCTGCTCTGGGGCCATGGATGGCTTCCTGGAGGGACTGCCACCTTGCCTAGACTTTAAAGAACAAACAGGAATTGTCCATGAGAGAGAGGGAAATGTAACAGGCCCAGACATGAACATATGCATAGAATAGAGAGTCTGGTGTTTAGACCTGAGTGTGGGTCACTGAGCATGTCTTCTTCCAACTAAATGAAGTCATGCAACATAAAATGACATTTCATTCAATCATGGAACTAATATACGACAGTGGTCCCATAAGATTATAATAAAAGATTAAAAATTCCTATCACCTGGTGATATTGCAGCCAAAGGAATGTCTTAATGCATACATTACTCACATGTTTGTGATGATGTTGATGTAAACAAACCCATTGCACTGCCAGTTGTATAAAAGTTTAGCACATACAATTTCAGTGGTAGGCAATACCATCTAGGTTTGTATACTAGTAAGTACACTCTATGATGCTTGCATACCAATGAAATTGCCTAATGACACATTTCTCAGACCGAATTCTGATGTTAAGCAGCACATGATTGTATTCCCAGTTCCTTCTCCTCAGGTTTTTAGTTCTTTCACCATTCTGGTGCCTTTCATTTGAACACATGCTAGGTTAGTCCTCAGAATTGAATGCATTATTCTTGTCACAATCTGATCAACACAAGTAGGTGAGGCTATCTTTCCCCTCACTCAGATGCCTAGTCTTGCCTGACATCTTATCTAAGCACATTCATTCAGTTGTTTCTCCATATACATACATGTATACATACATACATACATATATATATATATATGAGATAAATAGATAAAATGGGTTTTAGCAAAACTGAAAACTTTTTTGCTTCAAAGAATACTATTAAGAAAATAAAAACAACCAACCAACAGAATGGAAGAAAATATTTGCAAATCATATATTTGATAAAGATCTAGTATCAAGTACTGATAAAGAACTTACAATTCAATGAAAATAAGCAAATAACCCTATTAAAAATGAACAAAGGATCTGAATATTCTCTTAAGAAGATATATGGGTAATCAATAAGCCCATGAAAAGATGCTCAACATCATTAGTCATTAGGGAAATGCAAACCAAAACCACAGTGAGATACCACTTCACACCCATGAATGGATATAATTAAAAGGATGGGAAATAGCAAGGATATGAAGAAATGGCTGGTGGGAATGTAAAAAGGTGTGGCCACTTTGAAAAACAATCTGGCAGCTCCTCAAAAGGTTAAGCACAGGGTTACCAGTGACCCAGCAATTCTACTACTAAGTATACACACAGGAGAATTAAAAACATATATCCATAAAGACCCGTACATGAATGTTCATAGTAACATTATGCATGAAAGCCCCAAAATGGAAATAACACAAATACCCATTAACAGATAAATAGATAAGCAAAATATGGTACATCCAGACAATGGAATATTATTTGGCCTATCTAAAAGAAGACAGACACAAAAGGTTACTTATTGTATACCTCATTGCAATGAAATATTCAGAATAGGCAAATCCATGGTTGTCTGGGGCTATGTGGAGGGAGTGGTATGGAGTGACTGCTAATGGGTTTTTCTTTGGGGTGATGAAAATGTCCTCAAATCAGATTCTGTTTGAATGTCTTTAACTTTTATAGATCCTTTCCAAGCTATACCATTTTACCATAAATAGGTCATACTTTATTAAAAATAGTTTTAATATTTTATCATGTTTTCCCAGTTAGAAAGTGTTAAATGTTTTTTATGCTTGATAGGTCAGTCTAGTGTCTCATAATCTGTATATTCTCCAAGTCAAGCATGGCATATATAGCACACATGACACTTTCTTATAAATATGTGTCATACATTTAATGCAGTTATAATTAATAATTTATAGACTGTTGTATGTACAAATCCTTCTAGAATTAACACTCTCCAATATAGTAGCCATAGCTTTATTTTATGTGGATATTGAGTATTTAAAAGAAATCTAATCTAAATGAAGATCTACTGCAAGCATGAAATATATATCTGATTTCAGGATGTGAAGCATTTCATTATGACATTTTAATATTAATTACAGGTTGAAGTAATACTTTAGAGATATTGGATTAAATAAAATATATTAAAATTAATTTCACTTATTTTTAAACTAGTGTTCTGGTGCACAAAATTCGTGCACTGCAGTGGGAGGTGTCCATCAGCCCGAACTGCATCCTCTCCAATCTGGGACCTCTCGGGGAATGTCTGACTGCTGGGGGATGTCCCTGTGAATTTGGGCCTAAATCAGCAGTCAGACATCCCTTCTGCAATCCGGGACGTTGACTCTTAACCACTCAACTACCTGTCTGCCTGCCCGATCACCCTTAACTACTCTGCCTGCCAGCCTGCTCACCCCCAACTGTCCCACCACTGGCCTGCTCACCCCCAAACGTCCTCTCCTGCCGGCCTCATTGTCTCCAACTGCCCTCCTGGCCAGAGGCCCTCCGCAGCCAGGTGAGGAATGCTTGCCTCATCGCCAGGGTAAGTGTCCCCTCCCCCCAGGCTATTCCATGCCCGCTGCCCAGAGGCCCTCTGTGGCAGGGGTGGAACACTTGCCTCATCACCATGGTGATGAAGCAAGCATTCCGCCAGGCCACTCATGCTGTCCACTCTCAGTGGCTGCCCCCCTGGGACTGGGAAACTCCGATGGGGCTGAGAGGATTGGGTGCTGCCATCTTGTGGCTATGGACACTGCCATCTTTGTGATGGATGGTTAATTTGCATATTACCCTTTTATTAGATAGGATGTGGTTCTTACTGATGTGCCCCCTCAAATTTTTTAAATTACATATGTAGCTGACATTATATTTCTACTGGACAGTGCTGTTCTAGAACTTTCTGAGTTAGTGATGGAGAAAAGAGAGGTAAAAAGATTGAGGGCTAGATATATGGCCTCCTTAGAGCAAGGAAAGTAAATAAAAATCCTTGCATAGCTCTAAAATCTTGCTAGGAGAGGGACCAGACCATTCAAATGAACTCTGTAAGAGAGAGACATGAGAAAATGCAGGCATCTAAGAAAAAACGATATTATTTTGATGAACTGATTATGTCTTTTTAAGATTTCTCCATGGGACTCTAAAATTGTATATACCTATATAGAGGTGGTTAAAAGGTTATAATCTTCACTTGTCATGGACAACTTATTTGCTTGACTCTTTACTTCACTTAGTGCATCTAGATACTTTGGCCTTAAGTAAAAACTCCAGAGATTACTAATCTCAATTCCCACCCCCTCCCAAGTCTCTTGTTTCAACTATCTTCTAGTAACATACTCTCTTCTCAAATTGGAAGTGTTTCTGGATTAGAAGAAATAAGCATTTAGTCTTTTTGTCATTACTGACCTGCATTTCATATTTCAGAGTCATGTGGAAGCACCAGGATCCCATTCCTACCACTGAAACCAAAACAAACAAACAAAACAATTAGCATTACATTCTTTGGAAGTGGCCAGAATGACTTAAGAAGGCAATAAGACATTTCAAAGCACTCAGTGTGTGTTTTTAAAAATATATTTTTATTGATTTCAGAGGTATCTAAAGAACAAAAGAAGCAAACAAAAAAAAAATTAAAATGAATTCAGAGATAGAGAGAGTGAACTGGTAGATGCCAGAGGGCAGAGGGTTTAGGGCACTGGGTGAAAGAGGGGAAGGAATTAATAAAAATTGGTAGTTACAAAACAGTCATAGATATGTGGGGTACAGTATTGGGAGTATAGTCAATAGTGTTGCCAGCACTATGTGACAGGTGCTGGACGTATAGGAGGGAGCATTTTATGATGTATGTGATTGGCCACTATGCTGTACACCTGAAATCAATCTACACTAATAAAAGAGTAAGATGTAAATTGACCATACCTTTGTGACACCCACCAGCCAACCAGGAGTAAGTATGCAAATTAACCACCAAATATGGTGGGGTTATTTGCATATGTATGCACCAAACAGCCAGGGTGGGGCAGGATGCTTGCGTCATCACTATGGCGATGACGCAGGCATTCCATGCCACCCCAGCCACGATGGGCCTCTGGGCAGCATGGAAAGGTGGAAAGGCAGCTTTGGCCAGAGCGAAGGCGGTGCTGGCAGCCAGGGGAAGGAAGGCCCATTCTTGCATGAATCTTTGTTAAAGGTAAACTGTAATTGGGGAAAAAAGTATACAGGAGGATGTGCATAGGTTATATGCAAATATTAATGCCATTTTATATTAGAGACTTAGGCATCCTCAGATTTTGGTATTTGAAGGGGTTCTGGAACCCAACCCCCATGGATACTGAAGGATACATAATGAATTTTGCATTTTAAATTATATCACTCTGGTTATAAGGCAGAGAATCCAGATTAGGACTAACCTGCCAAGAAATAGAGATTTCTAAATAGGTTATTTCATTTAAAAAAAAAAAAAAAAAAAGGTTGAATTGAATTGCCGAAACCGGTTTGGCTCAGCGGTAAAGCATTGGTCCCAGGTTCGATTCTGGTCAAGGGCAGGTACGTTGGTTGCAGGCACATCCCCGGTAGGGGGTGTGCAAGAGGCAGCTGGTCAATGTTTCTCTCTCATTGACGTTTCTATAATAGCTCTCTATCTCTCTCCCTTCCTCTCTGTAAAAAATCAATAAAATATATTTAAAAAATAATAAAATAAAAAATAAAAAAATGGTTGAATTGAAAGAGACATGCCTGGCTGGAGAAAATTGGTAAAAACCAATTTTCATTACTGACAGGCTACAATTTATCAACAGGTACATATTTTCTGAAATGTTATCCAAATTGGCACAAATTTAAAAAATTAAGAAATGGGGAAGTTATTTAAGCCAAAGGAACAAATGTAAAATATGTGAAAACAAAACAACATTCATTGATCCTTAAATTATACAAATTAGAAATTCTGAAGATACTTAAAAAAATCTAAGTATTTTTCTCTTCTTCCTCTTGCATGCAAACTTATGGATTCAATCATATGGAGAACAAAACACTTCATTAGTATAAGGATAACTGTTAGCCAACATTTAACCATGATGTTTCCCTTAAAAAATATGGAGGCATCAAAGTTAAAATAAAATTCACATTTGTAGGGATTATCCAGCACATTCCAAAAAAACAAGTAACAAGAGTAGGTGGCCATGGCTGAAGTGAAAACTGAGGCAGTCAAAATAATAACGAAATTGGAACAAAGAGGTCAATGTCCCATCTGCATCTTCTACTTTAATATTTATATTCATAGCACTTGATTGCAGTTTTAAGAGTCTCTTAAGCATATAGTAGAATTTCACTGAGTTGGAGCCTATTGATTCAAATATTTTGGCATGCTATCAGTCAAAGTTTTCAAGGTTATAATAAAATAAAGATATCTTCTGATATACATTACTTTTGATCCACTTGACTAACCACACTGTGGAGAGTGTACAAAGGTTTTAGAATGAGACCTTAAATAGAATCCAAGGCCTATCACTTATTAGTTATCAACTTGCTTGAATCTCTCTGAGACTCAATTACCTCAGCTGTAAAATAAGAATAACAATGTTTATCATGAAGGTTGCTTGAAGATTACCTACTATGTACCTGTTATACAATAAATATCAACAAATTTTATTTTCTAGTCCCTAACTCAAGCTATGAAAAAATTCATGTACATAGAGAATAGAATCATTAGCTTTTGAAAGTAGGTTAGCTTATTTGAAGTATACTCATTTCCCCCTCGACAAGAGGCATAATTTTAGATGACTTTTAGTCTGACAGTGACAGACTATAGGTATGATCACATTAAACTTAAGGCATATCCAAGCAAATGACTTTCTGTCTCTGATATTTCTACTTCAATAATTTTCTATTTTAGCATTGGACTTAGAAAGAGATAATAAGGATCTTTTTAAAAATTTTTAATGGATTTTAAAGAGAAAGGAAGAGTGGGAGATTGAAAACATCGATGAGAGAAACATCAACATTGATTGGCTGCCTCCTGCATGCCCCTCACTGGGGATTGATCTCACAACTTGGATGTGTGCCCTGCCTGGGAATCGAACTGGTGACCTTATGGTGCATGGATTGATGCTCAACCACTGAGTCACACCAGCCGAACAATAAGTCTTTAATAGACTTTTTCTTGGTTTTGTTTTTCACTATTTTAGAACTCATTTTATTTTTATTGTTGCCAATATCTATAATTTCACTATTTTAGAACTCATTTTATTTTTATTGTTGCCAATATCTATTATTGTTGCCAATATCTATAATTTCTCTATTTTAGAACTCATTTTATTTTTATTGTTGCCAATATCTATTATTGTTGCCAATATCTATTATTGTTGCCAATATCTATAATTAAAAAATTTAATTGAATAACACATTTACATTTATACAACTACAAATAGGTTTTGTTTATTTGAAGTTCATTTTTCCTCAATGTAACATAAGCTCTCTAGGGATAAGGACTTTGTCATTTTTGTTTTCACACACTATGTTTCTTCACTTGTAAAGAATAAGTGAACATATTCCTATTTTAAAGGAATAAGACAAATCACAATTTGTGATTTTGAAAGTAAGGAGAAAAATTAAATCTCATGGGAAAGGTTTCTTTTGGCTTGATTCTATTTTATATAATGCGGTTTTTAATTACTGGCTTAAGTCACAATGATTTTAGTCATGTGCCACCTAACAATGGGAATATGTTCTGAGAAATGTGTTGTTAGGCAATTTTGTCTGTATGAATATCATAGATTACCTTTACACAAACCTAGGTGGTATAGTCTACTACACTCCTAGGCTAGTTGGTATAGCTTATTGATCCTAGGCTACAAACTTATACAACAGGTTACTGTATTGAATAGTGTAGGCAATTTTAACACAATGGTATTTGTGTAACTAAACATAGAAAAGGTACAATAAAATACAGTATATCTTTCTTCTTCAACATAAATCAACCTGGGTTTCCTATACATTTTTTACTCTATAAACTTTTTAATATTTTTAAAATTTCAACTCTTTTGTAGTAACATTTAGCTTAAAGCACAGCTATATACAACATTTTCTTTCTTTACATCTTTATTCTATAAGCTTTTTCTATTTTAAAACTTTTTATTTTTAGTATTTTAACTTTTTGTTCAAGACTAAGACACAAATATACACATTAGCCTAGACCCACACAGTATCAGTGTCATCAATACCACTGTCTTCCACCTCCACCTCCACATCTTGTCCCACTGGAAGGTCTTCAGGGCAATAAAGTGCATGGAGCTGTTATGTCCTATGATAAGGACACCTCTGGAATACCTACTAAATAAAGGACCTGTCTGAGGTCCTTCTTGAGGAAATAGGTCCATGGTAGTTTGGTTTGTTTCTTTTTCTCATCACAGATTTGCTTGTAAGCAGATAATGCACCAAGATACCTTTCCTAAACTGCCACCATAGATTTCACATACTTTCAGTCCTTTACCGTTAGCCAGTACTGTGGTGTATGGTATTTTGGTAAATACAAAATTGTTTTCAGAAATTTTATATTTACTAGTATTGTGAAGCTTTTTCCTTCAATTGGTGTTTTTGTCAGATTTAGGCCCCCACCTTCTCTCCCTCTTTTCCACATAGTTTTTCAAACCTCTCCAAGTCTAAAACATCAGATGTAGTACTATTGGAATGTGGTGTTTATTTTGTATTAAAAAACAAGTTGAAGCCGAAACCGGTTTGGCTCAATGGATAGAGCGTCGGCTTGGGGACTGAAAGGTCCCGGGTTCGATTCCGGTCAAGGGCATGTACCTTGGTTGTAGGCATATCCCCAGTAGGGTGTATGCAAGAGGCGGTTGATTGATGACTCTCTCATCAATGTTTCTATCTCTCTCCCTTCCTCTCTGTATAAAATCAATAAAATATATTAAAAAAACAAACAAAACAAGTTGAAGTTCACAATATTCTTTCTCTTCTAAGGCTGGAAATGTGGGTTAAGTATGGCTTTATTTACATTATTTTAAAAAAATTACACTATTTTTTAACCTGTTTGGTTCTTTGGGGAAATCAGTGGACAAATTCTACATTAGAGGCCACCATTATTCTAAAGCAACCTGGAAATCCCTTAGATCTTTTTATTCCTATTGTTATTACTGATTATGACTATTGGTATTTTATAAACATTCTTAACACATCTCAGGAAACAATTCACAGTGGTAAGTTTGTGGATAAGTTTTCCTTTTGAAGAAAAATCAAGTAACTTTCTTAAAATATCATGCACAGACAAACAGATTTAGAAATCAAAGTCTCTCACATCCAATTACTAATCTAGTTATGGTAGAATCTGACATGATACACTATATCTTACAGTTTTGTGGTATTTAGAAGTATTTATGCTCATATATAAATAACAGCTATCTTGTACTCAAACAAAAAAAGATTATTTTTAGCTTAGAAAGTTATATAAAAGAAACAAACTAGAATAGAATCCATGTTTTTTGCTATTTTTGTTTTTATGATGACAATGCAATAACATGATAGTGATTTTCCCACCTTGAGTTCTAGTAAAGTTCATTCATGCATTTATGTAACATTTATTGAGTACCACTAAATTGCCAAATAATAAGGATACAACTAAGACACAGACCCTGCCTCACAGAAAGCAGAGAAATATGAGACTTGCAGATGGCTAGATATATACAATACAGTGTCCTTTAAAAAAAAGTCTAAAAATATGCAAACCATTTATATATATAAACCCTAATATGTAAATAGAACAGCCGAACAACTGAACAACAAGTTGGCACTGACCACTGGGGGTGTGTGCACGGAACATGGTGGGCGCTGGCCATAGCAGGATGGTGGAGCAGGTAAGAAGGAATTATCAGACCAAGATGGGGTTTGTCAGCAAGGCGAACCTCTAGTGGTTACTGAAAATTCTTTGCTCCCTTGCACCATAGTCCCACCCAAGGCTCAAACTTGCTGCCAGTGCCAGCCCTGCTCATCCCTGAGGGCTTCTCCACCTCCCCTTGCTCCTGAGAGGTAATCGGGGCACCAACTGCCACTTGCACCTGCTGATGGCATCGACCCTACTTGCACCCATTGCTGGCACCAGCCCCAATGGCTTCACACCACCAGTGGGTGTGAGTGGGGCTGATGCCATCACTGCATAGGAGCAGCGGCAGTGGGAATGGGGCTGCAGACAGACAGGAAACCAGGAGCCATGGTGGGAGGGGCCAGGTGGGGGCTCGGAGAATGGGCTAAGACCCATCCCTGTGCCCACTGCGGCCTCACAGCCCACAGTTCCTTTCAAGGTGCACAATTTTGTGCACTGGGCCCCTAGTACTATACTAGTATATACTTTTAACAATACACATAAATGTAGTATAAATACAAAAGCATAAAAAAAAGTATAATCAAATTCAGTATAATGGTTAACTCTGGAAGGTGAGCTGGGAGAATGAGGGAAACAAAATCAGGTAGGAAAACAAACGAAGCTTCAATTTTATCTATAGTTTGTAGTTTATTTCTTTAAAAAAAAAAAAAAAAGATCTGAAACAAATATTGCAAAGTGCTAAAATCTGACAAAGCTCCATAATAAAAGACATGGATATATTTGTTATATTTTCTCTATTCTTTTCTGTATGCTTGAAATATTTTGTGATTTTAAAAAATGCATTCAAGCGGAAACCGGTTTGGCTAAGTGGATAGAGCGTCGGCCTGCGGACTCAAGGGTCCCAGGTTCGACTCCGATCAAGGGCATGTACCTTGGTTGCAGGCACATCCCCAGTAGGGGGTGTGCAAGAGGCAGCTGATCGATGATTCTCTCTCATCGATGTTTCTAACTCTCTCTCTCTCTCTCTTCTTCTCTGTAAAAAATCAATAAAATATATATATTTTAAAAATGCATTCAATTCACTGGCAAGATTTATGGAGTTTTAATTCATAACAACAATTTAATAAACAACACAAAATTGAGAACCAATATTAGGAATGAATGAGAAAAACAGCCTGAACACTGTATGTTATTTTTAGATGAAGTGTGATACATACCTGTGAGTGCTAAATAAGCAGCAATGTACCGCTTTTCCAGTCCATCTCTAACACTCTGAATTGCACCAAAAATTGGAGGTATAATCATAATCAGGTTACTCACTGTATTCCCTATAGAAGAAAAGCACGAGAAGATAAGTTAACCAATACTACTTTAAATAAAGATATATTCACTTGGCCATTAACAAACATTAAAGAGATAACTTCTCTTTAAAGATGGTGTAATGATATTTACAAGGTGCTAAAAGAAAATTTTCTATTCAACAAAAATTTCTTATAAGAACCCAAGTAGGCTCTGGCTGGTTTGGCTCAGTGGACTGAGCGTTGACCTATGGACCAACGGGTCCCAGGTTTGATTCCAGTCAAGGGCACATACCTTGGTTGCAGTCTCTTTCCTGGCTCACACAATAGAGCCACACCAGCCAGGGCATGTGCCCTGACTGGGAATCGAATCATGACCTCCTAGTTCATAGGTCAATGCTTAAAAACTGAGTTATACTGGCCAGGGCTGTTCTTATCTTTATAAAAACAAAAATTAACAATAGCAAAGAAACAACAAAACAAAAAACCCAACAGCAGAATAAATAGTAAAATGGGGAAATAAAGAGCTAATCTAGTTTATAAATTTATTCTGGGTAGAATAAAATGGCACAATACATTCAAAGTTTCAAGTAAATGAATTTCAACATTAGAGCTGATATTACATTACATTAATGGACATATATGGAACACTCTACCATACAACAATAGCATATAAATTCTTCTTAAGTGCACATGGAATATTTCCCAGGGTAGATCATATATTAGGCCATAAATTAAGTCTCAAGAGGCTTAAAAAATAGATATTATATAAAATATCTCCTCCAACCACAATAAAATGAAGTTAGAAATAAATAACAGAAGAAAAACTGGAAATTTTCACAAACTTATGTAAATTAAACAACAGCCAACAGGTCAAAGAAGAAAGCTCAAGGGAAATTAGAAAATACTTAGAGATTAATTAAAATGAACACACAACATAACATTAATGAAATGCAACAAAAGCAGTGCTAAAGAGAAAATTTATAGCTATAAACACTTAGATAAAAAACAAGGATCTTCAAGCTGATTTGAAAGAATATTACTAACATGAAAATATACAACACACTGGTAAAGGTAAATATATAGCCAAATTCAGAACTGCAATATGATGGTGTATACTAATAGTCACTCTAGCAATAAAGGTAAAAGGAAAAAATATTAAAAATAACTAAAGCTATAATAATTTGTGAATGAATACACAATAAAAAAAACACACAGGTAAACTGTATTATCAAAAACCTAAAATGGGAGAATAAAAGGTAGAGTTTTAGTATGAGAAACTATTAGCGTGAAAGAGACTGTTATATGTAAGCCTCGTGGCAACCACAAAGCAAAAGCCTATAGGAGGTTCTCAAAAAATTAAGAGAAGGGAAGCAAAGCCTACCACTACAGAAAATCATCATTCACAAAGGAACCCAGCAGGAGAGAAAGAAAGGAACAAGAGGACTACAAAACTTCCAGAAAGGCATTAGTAATCCACAGTAGGCTAATAATTACTCTAGCCCTGGCTGTTTTGGCTAAGTGGCTAGAGCATCAGCCTGTGGACTGCAAAGTCCCAGATTTGATTCTGATCAAGGGCACAGGCCTAGATTATGAGCTTGATCCCCAGTAGAGACAAGTGCTAGTGAGGATGAGAAGAAAAAGGAACCCTTGTGCACTGCTGGTGGAAATGCAGACTGGTGCAACCTCTGTGGAGAACAGTAAGGAGTTTCCTCAAAAAACTAAAAATGGAACTCCCATTTGACAAGGTGATCCCACTTCTAGGAATATATCCCAAGAAAGTAGAAACACTCATCAGAAAGGATATATGCACACCTATGTTCATAGTAGCACAATTCACCATAGCTACAATTTGGAAACAGCCTAAGTGCCCATCAGCAGATGAGTGGATAAAAAACTGTGGTACATCTACACAATGGAATGCTATGCTGCACTAAAAAAGGAATTCTTACCATTTGCAATAGCATGGATGGAACTGGAGAGCATTATGCTAAGCAAAATAAGGCAGTCAGAGAAAGATAAATAACCCATGATCTCACTCATTTGTGGACTATAATGAACAACATAAACTGATTTAAAAAAAAAAAAGATCCAGATTCAGAGAAGCATCGATTAGACCATCAAACCTCAGAGGGAATGAAGGGGAGAGTGGGGGTAAGGGAGAAAGATCAACCAAAGGACTTGTATGCATGGATATAAGCCTAACCAATGGACACAGACAACAGGGGGTTGAGGGCATGAGTGGGGAGGTACGGGGAGGGCAATAGAGGGGGGATAAGAACACATATGAAATACCTTAATAAATGAAAAAAAAAAGAATCTGTTTTCATGCACAATACTAAAAAATAAAAATAGGTTCTCAAAGATTTGCAACCCATGTTCATTACAGCGTCCAATAAAGTAAAACATACAATGTCTGGCATCCAATAATAGATTACCAGGTATACAAAGAAGAAAAAAGCATAACCTATAATGAGAAAACAATCAATTGAATCCAATCCAGAACTGACACAGATTTCAGAATTAGCAGACAGATTAAAGCAGTTCATATAAAAGTCTAGAAAATACAAACTAACTAATAGTGGCATAAGACAAATCAGTGGTTGTGGGAAGAAGAGACATTGGGATGGAGAAGGAGGACTTATAAAGGGACATGAGAAAACCTGGTAGTGACAGATATGTTCACTATCTTGATTGTAGTAATGGTTTCACATGTGTATAAACACATCAAAACTCAATTTGTACACTTTAAATTCTGCATTCTATTGTATGTCAACTTTACCTCGATAAAGCTGTTTTTTGTTTGTTTTTAAGTTTTGCCTTTGGGGAGTAGAATTGGAGGTACAAAGGAAAGAGTTAGGGAAAGCACTGCTTTCTGATTTTGCTACAAGTCTTAACACTAGCTGTTTTTTTAAAAAAATAATATATACCTTTTAATGTATTACTTTGATAAAGTAAAAAGTTAAAGAAACTTTTAAGAAAGGGGATAAAATAGTTGAGTTTCATAGATGTGATAAGATTTGAGCTAGATTCTGAAAGGAGAGAAATAACTAAAATCTACTGATAGCCTATTAAGTATCAGGTACTAGGCCTCACATTATACATGTGCTAACTTATTTGCTCTTCACAACAACTTTGTGAAGTATTATTACCCCATTATACAAATAATAAAAATAGGCTAAGAGATTATATAATTTACTCAAGTTCTCACAATAAGCAAATCAGAGCCCAAGTTTTATTACAGCTCTGTCCTTACAGCCAATGTTCCTTCCCCTCAATGTACTAGCACAATGTTTACACAAAAAAATCCTTATTAATGTTTTAAAAATGATATCAGAGAGTATTTCAATTTGTACAAATAGCAAAATAATCTGCCTAGGTGGAATGTGAAAATATAAGGTGTAGAGCTAGACATATTAAACAACAGTTATCAATAGCTTTAAGTAAACCTGTAGAATATCGTACCATTCAGGAGAGCCCTAGGATTCAAACTAATGAAAATCTTTACTGATGAATAAGATAAAGGAATTAAAACATGCCCAAAGATACATATAATATGAAATTCAGCTAATATATCAATAATATAGAAATCAGAAATACATTTCAAATGACCTGGAGACAGGGGATTTAGCTAGCTAGTGGGCATCCAGGTCAGATAAAGATGCTACAACTTACTATATCTCTCTATAAAGCTGAGTAAACATAAATTAGATTAAAGACATTTTTGACTCCTGAATAAGACTGCAGCGTGAACCTGTAATTGCAGCTCTGGAGCTACAGATATAACTTATAATAGCATCAAAACACATCACATACCCAGGTACAAACTTAGCAAAAGATGTGCAAGACTAATAAAACTCCCAACAGGTTTTTGTTGTTGTTGTCGTTGTTGTTTTTTTGTGTGTGTTTTTTTTGTACAAATTGATAAGCTGATTCTAAACTTTATATGAAAATTAAAAAGGCCAAAAAGAGCCAAGAAAACAACAAAATTGAAGTATTTACACAAAGTCTGTCAAACTCGCAGCCAGCGCCGGCTACAAATTTGACATGCTTGATTTACACTATTAGATATCAAGGCCTATTTGCAAGGATAGACAAATAGAACAATAGAACAGTTAAGATTCTAAGAACATCCCAGTGTGCTCAGTGGTTGAACACTGACCAATGAACCAAGAGGTCACGGTTCAATTCTAGGTCTGGGCATATGCCTTGATCTCTGGTCAGTGATTTTCTCTCATCATTGATATTTCTATCTCTCTCTCCCTTCCTGTCTCTGAAATTAATAAAAATATATTAAAAAAAAGAAAACATTCCAAGAACAAACTAACATTCATTCACCTGATTTATGAAAAACATGGCTCTGCAGTATAGTATAAAGAAGATGATCTTGCCATAGCCAGTTTGGCTCAGTAGATAGAGTGTAGGCCTACGAACTGAAATGTCCCAGGTTTGATTCCAGTCAAGGGCACATGCCCAGGTTGCGGGCTTGATCCCCAGTGGGTGGCGTGCAGGAGGCAGCCAATCAATGATTCTCTCTCATCACTGATACTTCAATCTCTCTCCCTCTCCCTTCCTCTCTGAAATAAATAAAAATATATTATTAAAAAAATATGGTCTTTTCAATGAAGGAAACATAGGGAAAAATGAATCTGGACACCAAGCTCACATTTCTTATAAAAAATAAATTTCAAATGTGCTGTGGATCTAAAGGTAAAAGGTAAAACAATATAACTATAAGAAGAAAATATGGGAGAACATCTTCATGATGTTTGAGTGGCAATAAGTTTTAAATAGACCATGAAAAGAATTAACCACAAAGGCAAAAAAACTAAAAAGTCAAGAAAACTACAGAGTCAAACAAAGACTATAAAGTCAAGAAGAAAAAAACTGTTTTATAAAAAGCTGATTTATAGACTAATAAATATGAAATTGCCTTGTATATAAGTTGATATATAAATGTTAACTAATTTAACTTTACTGAACATGCACAGAAAATGATCACAGAATGAAAAATTTTGATTAAAAAGTAT